AGTGGACCCTGCGTCAGCGGGCACAAATGTTCTCTGCCTGCTGCCTCTCCTGCTCTTCATGCCCTCGTCTGTGACATTGTGTAGAGTGCCCATACATCTTCAAGTGCAGACACGGCTGACTGGAGCCAGTGTGTAGTGAAGGTCACTCACTCGTGAGAGGCCTTAAAAATTCTCCCCATGGCTGTTTCCGTGAACTCTGTCAGCATCCCTGGGTCAGCTTTCTCTGGGATTGCTAAACTGGCTTCTGCCGTTGAGGTTCTGTGTCTTCTGACATACTGGAATGTTTGGCTCCTGACTGTGTGCTCACTGCAGGAGGCCATGCTCATTCTTTTTCTGATTTTTTTTTACGTGTGTGTGTGTGTGTGTGTGTATGTGTGTGTACATGTGTATGCTGGGTCCCCTGGAGCTGGAGTCACAGGTGGCTGTAAAGCTGCCATGAGTGCTGGCAGATAAACTCCCATCCTCTGGAAGAGCAGTAAGTGTACTTAACCACTGAGTCCTCTCTCCAGCCCTCAGGCTCATTCTTAGTTACATATTAAGTTCAGGTTCAAGGCTGGCCTGGCCCATATGAGTCCTTGTCTCAAAACTTAAATGAAAGAAAGGAAGGAAGGGAGGGAGGGAGGAAGGAAAGGAGGAAGGAAGGAAGAAAGGAAGAAAGGAAGGAAGGAAGGAAGGAAGAAAAAGAAAAAGAGAGATAAAGAGAGAAGGAAAGGAAGGAAGGAAAAGAAAGAGTAGATATAGGGATTGGGGAGCTGGCTCAACAAGCAAAGTGTGTGTTACTCGAGTATGAGGAGTTGGGACCCTGGCACACATGTAAATGTTGAGTGGGCGTGGCAGTCTGCCTGTAATCCCAGCTCCTGAAGAGACTCCTGGAAGACAGACTCCTGGAAGAAGCTGGGTAGCTAAGCTAGAAGAATTGATGAGCTTTAGGCTTAACTGAGAGATCCTGTCTCAGTCATATCTAAGGTGGAGAGCCATAAAGAAGATACCCATTGTCACCCTCAGGCTTCTACACACGTGTGCCCATACTATACAAATGAACAGTTTTGTGCACACATGTGCACACATGTGTACACATGTCACAACAACAACAGCAAACCCCCACAAGGCTGGGTGTGGATGGGAAGCAAAGACAGGATTATGGCAAGTTCAGATCCACCCTACTCTACATACCAAGTTCCAGACTGGCCAATGCTGTGTAATGAGACCTTAAAAAAAATTTAAGTGTGATTTGACTCTTCTTTGTAATCCCAGACTTCAGGAGGGTGAGGCAGGAGGATAGCCTGGAGTTTGAGCCCAACCTCAAAGCCTCAAAGATGATATCTCAAAAATTAGATGGATGTATGTGTGGATGGATGGATGGATGGATGGATGGATGGATGGATGGATGGATGGAAAGAAGGGGCAGAGGATCCCACTTTAAAAAATGTTGGGGTTCCAGGGGATGAACCCTGTGTCTTAGAGCTGTGGTAAAGCTGCGGGTAGACTGAGGTAGGGGAGATGGGTCACAATTCACCTTCCTTAAGCCTGTCCAGATTTACCCTTCTTGGTCCTGTCTGGAGAAGTAAGACTGGGCAGCAGGATTAGCTCGGGGAGGGTGAGTGAGGTGGTCAGTGCTGTACAGTTACTTCTCAGTGGCTGGTTGGTTCTAGAGAGGGTGGGCCTCCCCATCCCTATGTGTGGTTCAGGTAACCTCAATGATGTAGATGACTGATAGGTGGATATTCATTTAGACTATCATCATCATCATCACCATCATCATCACCATCATCATCATCACCATCATCACCATCATCATCATCATCATTATTAATTTTTTGAGACCAGATGTTGCTGTATAGCCCAGGCTGCTTTTTTAAATGCTCCTTTCCAGGCATTATCAGATCTCTTACAGACCCTGTCTCATGATACATCTTCAGAGTCTCAGATGCTCCCCTGACCTCAGGTGCTCCCCTGACCTCCATCAGCCCTGGGTTGCAGTTCCTGCCTGCCCTTCAGGCCTCTCTTAGGAAAACCTTCCTCGTTTCCTCTTACGTGAAGCAAGTCCCATTCTCCTGCCCTACACACAACCTTGAAGCATAAATTTCTGTACATCAGCTACATGTGAGGTACAGTCCCCTGAGTGGATCTCTGGGCTGTGGGTGTGCACAGACCAGACTAGCGGGTGCCTATTGTGGGTTACCCTGGGTTACCTTGTTACCATGGGTTACTGGGCCGTTTCTTCCCCCAGGGCTGTGGTGTTCTCAGCTGTTCCCCTTAATTTTCTTTGCAAAATGTCCTCAGTCTACATGAAGATTTCCTCTAAGTCATGTGAGGCTTTCTCTGGGGAAGGGTGGGGCCCACTTGTTCCCCTCCTAAGTCCCAGGGGCTGTCCTGGGGGTGTCCCATCAGTGCTCTCAGAATTGGCCCAGGAACCCTGTTGACTCTGAGAGTGGTCTGGGGCAGATTAGCATGTAACCATGTCCTGCCTTTGCCCAGGTGGGAAACTGGAGGTGAGCCTGAGGAGGGTGGGGTCAGCAGTGTGGGAGCATGTGCTACGGCGTGAGTGTGGACGCCAGAGGATGGACTCGGGCTGGTCCTTGATGACTATCTTGTTTGAGGTAGGGTCTGGTTTTGTCTCTGCATTTCCCACAGTAGTTGACCTGGTCTGTGAGCATCTGGGGGGATTCTGCAGTCTCAGTGCTCTCCCCTCTGGCCCTGGAGCACTAGGTTTCAGATGCATGCTACTGGGCCTGGCTTTCTATGGATTCTGGGGACCTGAACTTAGGTCCCTCACCCTTGGACAGCAGGCACTTTACCTACCAGGCCATCTCCCCAGCCCTGCTTCTGACGCAGTCACGTGACAACCCACTCTTGAGGGAGGAGCACCAGCAGTCCTACAGTAGTAGTGAGTAGCCCGTGAGGAAACAAACAGGTGAAAGTAATTTCAGTCTATTTGATTTAGTTTATCATGTCTCATGTTTTATCATTGATCAGAAAAATGGCTAATGGGACAATCACCATTTTACTACTGAGTCTTTAAAATGAGATTTTTTTCCTTTGTGTGTGTGTGTGTGTGTATGTGTGTGTGTGTGTTTCAAAACTCGTGCGGGTCACACGGCTGGTCACACTTGTCCCGCGAGCTACGGCACTTCCCAGCGGGACTCAACAGCACAGACTGCCGACGAACCGAGGGTGTGGGGAAAGAGCTGGAGCCACGCGCCTCGGTGACAGCAGGGTCCCGGGAACAGGGGCACAGGGATGCTGAGTCTCCCAGGAGCCCTGCGAAGGCGGTGCACAGACCACTGTTGTAAGGGGAGAGTGTCCCGCAGGCCGCTAGAGCTCAGGGAGCGGAGGGACAGGCAGAGAAGGCTCCCCCCTCACGAGTTTTCCACTTACACAGAGTCCAGAATTTCAAGAGATACATGGAGTTGAAGACATGTAGATTTATTGACATGGTGATGAGTCTGAATGATGGTGTGCTCTCCCAAAAAATGCCAGGAGAGGCCCCCTTATACTGGGTATAGGAGGGGCTTGGGAGGTGACTATGCTCCGGCTTTTAGGTTATTTAAATCTTGAGGCAGAGACCCGTTAGTCACGTCCTCTACCTGTGCCTTGCGTGCATGTTAGGTCTCTGGGCTCTGGGGCGTGACCAAACACCTCAGGATTTCCACAGCCCCGTGTGTGTGTGTGTGTGTGTGTGTGTGTGTGTGTGTGTGTGTGTGTGTTGTGCACATGTATGTATATTCACATGCATGGCACACATGTGAGCAAGTACATACTCATGAATGTGTGTGTACATATGCTTGTGGGTGAGTGGGTATCAGTAATCTTCCTCAGTCAGTTGTCCAGGGTCTCAGTCATGCCTAGGACTCTAAGATTCAGCTAGTCTTTCTAACCAGCTTGCTTCAAGAACCCCGTCTTCATTTTCTGACCTGTGACAGCTGCCACACCTCCTGGCATTTATGTGTGTTTTGGGGGATCTGAGCCTCTGGTCCTTTTGTTGGTGTAGCAAGGACAGCAACTACTGAGCTCTCTAGGCTGTGAGAGATGTTTACATGTTTTCGTTAATCACACTTAGATGCTGGGGGGTTACATGTTGGCCTGAGATTATTTAGTCAGTACAGTGCTGGTTGTGTAGGCGCCTGGATCAGAGTTCTCAATCACCAGAATCTGAGTAAGAAAGCCAGGCATGGCAGGAATCCTAGCACTGGAGAGGTGGGTGGATCCTGGGGCTCACTGGCAGCAGCCTAACCTAACAGGGGACTTCCAGCCAGTGAGAAACCTTGTCACAGAAAACAAGGCTCCCGAGGAGTGGTCTCCAGCATTAACATCAGGTTTCTCCATGTGCACATGTCCACATACAGACATAGACACCGCATGTGCTGGTGGCTGCCGTGGATGTGTGGGCAGCTGCCGTTTGTATTGACCCTTCTCCTTCCTCAAAGCAGGGCTTGTGCTCTTAGTAGGCCTGGGCCTGGGTGTTAGTGTGGGTTGAGAGGGCTGTCTGGCAGGGGCCGTGCTAGGCTGGCACTCGTGTTGTGGGGCATTTGCCTGGAGTCTTGCTTCTGATCAGGTCTGGAGTCTCAGGCAAAGCTGTTCTCAGCTGCTATGCCTCATCTGTAGAACGGAGCCCTGCATCTGTGGTCTCTGGGGCACTTTGGGCTGTGGTATGCAGGGAAGATTCCCAGGACTACTGTGCCTATCTCAGTTTCATTCCTAAGCCAGGACTTTAGAGAAAGGCTTAATCAGCCATTGCCATCACAGATACAAGATCCATGCATTTGGTTATCTGTTGAGCTCCAGACTGTGGAGACCGCTCACCCACCCGGTACTCATTCAGCATCAGCCAGCTGTTACCCCATCCCACGTTTGAGGGACCTACCCGTGCAGCCTATCCAAGAGAGAGGCAGAGATGGATAGGCCAAGTCTTGGGCCACTCATCTCTGGGGGTGGGAGTGATGGACACCAGGAACTCCTGGCCTTTGCCTCAAGCCTTACCAGACCTTCTCTCTCAACAGGCTCAGCTGGAAGCGCAGAAAGCCACACAGGACTTCCAGAGGGCCACTGAGGTGCTCCGTGCAGCCAAGGAAACAATCTCCCTGGCTGAGCAGCGGCTGTTGGAGGATGACAAACGGCAGTTTGACTCTGCTTGGCAGGAAATGCTGAATCATGCTACTCAGAGGGTAGGCGTGACCATTGTGTGCCTGTGGTGGGGACCCATACATGCTGTATATTCTTTGGCTCCCTACAAGAGTAGGGACGGGTTTCTGGGTGGCATGAAACCCTCCTGTAAAGGTCATGGACTGTCTGCCCTATGTAGTCTGTTGGCTAGCAAAGCTTTAGGGCCACACTTGACATGACAATGTCCCAGTGACAGGTAGAGATAATCTTTCCCTTATAGTGTCTGAAATATCTCAGGTTCACATGGTCCGTCAATGTCTTGGCAGTAGAGTTGGGTTTCTTAGAGGGCCCAGGATGTTCTCCAAGGTTGGCTCTCCAATGATATCAGAAGGACTGCAGGTTCCAGGTAGAAGCCCCCTGTTAACATTTCGACCTGCCACCTGGGTATCTATTGTTGGTGGGTGAAGTGGCTAGACCAGAATCAAGTGAGCTCTCCCTCAGGCAGGGCCTTCCATTCAAAGCTGGCGTCTGGGGAGTAGTATGCAGTAGGCAGTAGCTGGGAGCGATTGTCATATAGGCTTTAGGTCATCATTATTTGGGTCTCTACCTGCTCCCAGAACTCCTTTTTCCTTCTTTCTCAGAATTGGAAGTAACATCTTCTGGTCTAGGCAGGCTAGTAAACAAAAATACCATAAACTGTCTGGCTCCAAAACAGAAACACATTCCTCACAGTTCTGGAAGCCAGGAAGTCCAAAATCAAGGCTGACATATCTGGTGTCTGATGAAGACCTGTTTCTGGTCCTCAGAGGGCCATCTCCTCTTAAAGTGGCAAATAAGCCTTCTCAGATTGACCTTCCTTCCCTTCCTCCTTCCTTCCTTTCTTTCTTCCTCTCTCCCTCTCCCCCACCTTCCTTTCTTCCTTTCTTTCTTCTTTGCTAGGGGGTTGACCCAAGGACTTTTCACACTGTAGGCAAGCACTCTGACACTGAACCACAGCCCCACCCCTTGGGGCCACACTGGTCCCACGGCATCACTTCCCCAGGGCCCACCTTGATGTCCACACTGGGGACATTTCTATTCCCGCAGGTAGGGTCACATGCTTGACCTGCGGACTGGAGTTTACTGGGATCACAGGATATTCTGGATACTGCTTCCTTCTACAAAGAGCAGCTCTTGGGCTTCTGATTCTTGGTCCCCTTGGCACTAGCCTGTCCCCCCATGAGAGCCTGGAAGGCCAGTGTCAAAGCGAGGCCAGAGGTTTGTTGTAGGGCAGGCAAATGAGCTGCAGTCCCTGATGGAAGGCTGTGGGGTAGGAAGGAGGTCAGGAGTCAGTGCCAGAGGCTGTTCCCATGTCAGTGTCTCCTACCACAGTTGCTCAAGTCCTGGGGGATCTGATGATTAAAGATGGCTTCGAGTGTCTTTAAATAGAAAAGTGTGACGCACAAATGACTTCAGGAGTCAGATCTGACTGGACTTTATATCAGCTCTCAGAGGCTGGGGACACATGCCTGTGGCTTGGCTTGGTGGCCTTGAGCCTCCTGCCCCCTAGTGGGTGTGATGCTTGTAGCCCCAGCAAAGGCTGAGAAAAGTCTTCCTGGGTCAGCTGTGGACAAACCAAAGAGGAGGTTGGAAATCTTGCAAAGCATAACCAGATAGATGAAAAGATCCAACTAACTAAACACACAGCTGAAGGCCAGCTTTTTTTTGGATCCTCTTGCCCTCCAATGCTGCAGATCTGGAGCAGCGTGTAAGAGGCCATTTCAGAAGTCACCAAATGTGCCTGTTTATGGTAGTGTATGCCTATAGTGCCAGTCAATAATGCCAGCCAGGAGACTGAAACAGACTCAAGGCTAGCCTGAGCTACATAGGAAGACTCTATCTTAGAGAGGGGGGGGAGAATGAGAGAATGAGAGAATGAGAGAGAGAATGAGAGAATGAGAGAATGAGAATGAATCCCCTGGATCTGTGATTATGAAAAATCCACATTCTAGTTAAGGGTTATGGTAGTGGGTAGCTGCCCATGAGGAGGCCCCCTGAGATGCTCACACTGTCCAGAGCAGCATGTGTGAGTCTTGGAAACAATGTTCTGGGTTTGTGTGGTGAACAAACCGTGGAGCTTGACAAGCTAGCCTCAGACCTCCTTGAGCCAGTGGGGGCTTCACAGTGGCCTGTGGGCTATCTGACGTGTGTGTACCCTCTGGCTATCAAATGGAGGGACCCAGGCATCTGGTGTGATGGCAGCAGCCTGTGTAAATGAGCAGGGAGTTCTAGGTCTCAGGCCAGGACTTCCCCATCATGGACAGTTCCATTGTGGTTGCAAGGACTGAGATATGCTTTTCCTTGATCTGATGAGAAATAATCCTTCCCCTCAGAGCGGGCGGCTCTGTAGTAGAACAAGTGTTTGCATTTAGCCTGTGAGAGGCCAAATCCAACCTAGGCAACAGAATTTAAAAAAAAAAAACACATAAAAATACTCCCAAGAGACCATGAGTCTTCCCTCACTATACACTATTCAGAGTCCCGGCTTGCAGGGCAGGCTCCTTGATGAATACAGACCAGTGCTCCTTGCGGTCCAGACGCTCATGTTTGGCTCTGAAATAGCCCAAGTGACTGTGACCCTCTGACAGAACTGAGCATTTCTCCCAGTGGGGCTTGTGGGGACTATTTCCCAGGCCTCCTAGGGCCAACATGCTGGGCTACCTTGGCAGAAGACCATGCAGGGACTGGCTGGCTTCTGGAGATGCCAGGAAGCCTGTTTCATTAGAGGAGTGGAGCTTCATATAACTGTCTCCTCCTACATCTCCACACGCTCCTCTCCTGAGGCCATATCTCTGTCTCCTGTGACATTAGATGGCCACACTTGAAGCTGTTGCAGGGGCTGAGGCTAGATGTCAGGAACCCAGTATTCTCAAGTGGTCACACACCCAATAGTATAGACAGGCTGTGGGGACAGTTCTCAGCTCAGTGCTGGGGAACAGCAAGTGGTTCAACCAGTAACAGTGCCAAGCCTGCAGCTGAGCCACCTCCCTTGGGGCATAGGGCTCAGTGCCTGCTGCTTCTCAGCACCAGAGAGAGGTTTGAGGGCAGAAGCATCTCCTCCCCTTGGGTGCTTTGATTTTGAAGCCACCATTTGGGGAAGGCACCTTTATATTGTCTGGGACAGGCATGCCGCAGCCTGGGAAGAATTGGCTTTTGACGTCTGTTCCAGGGGACCAGATGGTGGAAGAGGGGAAGTCTGGCCTGGACAGGAAGGCAGACCTTGTAGATGGGCTGGCAGTGGGGCTCCTGGAGAGGAATGGACAAGACATGGCCAGCCTCTCCTCCAGGCTTCCTGGATGTGTGAGAAGGCTGGGATGGAAGAACCGTCTGGTGGGGGAGGGGAGCCATGTTATGCCCCGGCCCAGTGAAGCTATGAGAACACAGGATGCTCCCTCTCCACCTGGATGGATGTGTCAGCTTACAGAGAGGCTGTGGCTGGGCCCCAGGACAAGGCCTATGTTGGGAGAATATTCTAAACCAGCTGAATGGAGGAGACCTCTTTCATCTTAGACAGCTGTTTCCTTGAGCCTAGTTCACCTGTTGCCTCTAGCTCAGAGAAGAATGAGGAAAGCTTCATTGCCCATCTTTGTGATTTCAAGTCTTTCCTCCAAGATGGACATGGTGGTTACATGTGCCATGTGTCAGATGGAATGGGGATACAGCCATCTCAAATAACGAACAAAACCCAGTGACATGCGTCCTCCCACCCACTACCTGAAATGCCACATACTAAGACACCCTCCCCTCCAAATGCCACCTCTGCTGCCACACTCTCTGAGCGACCAGAGCTATCCCAGCTGCCTGGATCCCACACCGCCTTGGAAGATACATATGGCCTCGGGAGCACTCATACCCCGCTAGGCCATCAGCTCCAGGTTTGGCCTCTTGTTCCTAGCCACAGTAGGTGCCTGATTAGTGTAGGTGGCTCTGAAGTGTGGGAGTGGTGGCAGTAAGGCCAAGTGAGCCCTGGAGAGAGTCCGGACTAAACACCTGACCAGCAGGGGCTCCCGGAGCCAGGCCTGCCCCAGGACAGCTTTCCTATGTATCTCCATCTCTGTTGCCCCATGCTGTTCCCTCTTTCCTGGTGGAGCTTCTGTCCATGGGCCCTGACTCTGCCTCCCCCTCATGCCCGCCCCTGCCCCCATCACTGCACACAGCTTATGGCTGATTCTAGGCTACAGATGGAGGAGCTCCTTGGTTGCCTAGGAAGTATACCATGGTGACTGACATGCTTGGTGGCCACTGGGCAGGTACCTCTGTGTGTGGTAGTGGAGGTGTCTTTTCTAGAGTTAGCGTTGTATAGGTGGAGAGGTGAGGTGCAGACAAGGTGTAGCAATGTGTCCTGATAAGGTATGGCAGAAATACTGATGTGTGTCACCTTTGAAGGCGGCACTGGAAATATAGCCACGTGCTTGAGGCTTTCCCGGTGCTTACCGTTAGAGAGCCCTTGTTTGCAGCCTGGGAGCTGAGGTAGAATGAGAGCCAGCGTGGAGCTGGGCAGGCCCTGCTTCTCCCAGGAGACACGTTCTGTTCAGTTCTTTAAATTGCAGCTTTTCAGTTGAGTCTACTTCGAGTGCACCCGTTCTGTTCTGTACAGATCTTCTTCCCACACAGAATGAGTCACGCCTGATCTGTTGTCTGAGAAGCGTGGGGTTTTCATTTTTCATAAAGGTTGTACACTAGTTCAGTAAGAGCTTAAGATCTAGACTAGGCTCAAGTTATTGCTGTTTCCCCACGTGTCAAGCACGAGATGCTTTCAGTGGATTTTGTTTCATTGTGAATGTAATACTTGTGTTAGAAATCAAAAAGGGAAGGCTTCTTCCACCCCAGGAGTCATCTTAGTCACCATGTCACGTCTCTAGCTTGACCCTCTACCCTCCTCATTTCCTTAAAATTATTCCACATTTATAAGACATCACATTTGTCTTTACTGTTCTTTTTCCTTTCTTTATTCTCCTCTCCTACAATACATCCAGACCACAGCCTTCCCTCCCTCCCCTCCTCCCAGTACCCAACCCCATTCACCCACCTCTTCATTTCCCTTCAGAAAAGAGCAAGCCTCCAGAGATACCAACCGAATCCAATATAACAAGATGCCAGCCCCTCATATCAAGGCTGGAAGAGGCTACCCAGTAGGGAGAAAAGGGTCCCAAGAGCAGGCAAAAGAGTCAGAGACACCCCCACCATAAGTGTTCCAGCTCCTCCCCCGTAGGCTTCTCCTATGGAGGCTCAGCTCCAGCTGTTGGGAAAGTTTCCTCAGTGCAAGCATAAAGTTCTGCTCCAGTGGGGGATGGTTTCCCCAGACAAAGTGTTACAGGTCTGCATGGAGTGGGAGGTTTCCCCTGCAAAAGCTCTGCTCTGGGCCCTGCTCCAGAGAAAGTGTTACAGCTCTGCTGGGAAAGGTATCCTGGCAGTAAGAACCAAAGAATACCACACAGCCATACCACACAGCAGACCTCACATAAGAGATTTTGGGGAGGGAAAATCCCAGGAGGGTGGCTACCTCTGCCCAGGGGAGAGAAGCAGCAGAGAACTAGGCAGGACACAGGGTTTGTATAGAGTTCTTTGGGGGGAGGGGCTTTCCAGGGTGACCTGGGATTGGTGGGATTTTTTTTTTCTTGTAGGACAGGGTCTGGCCACTCTCCCACCTTGAAGGGCTGGAACAGCCATAATAATTGTTTTTAACCATTGAAGCCATTAGGACAGTCTGGGGGCGGGGCCTGTCTTCTGGAGCTCCTCAGGTGAGGCCGGGCCACTTACGTGCCTTGAGGGTTTACACAGTTTACAGAGAATGCAAAGTTTACAGGAAAAGCCTTCCCTGGGCATGAATTGGTATAAAATTGGCGTAAGTAGCCGATACCCACAACCATAGTTGGGAGTCTCACAAAACTCCAAGCTAAATAACCACGTGTGTATGCAAAGTGCCTGGAACAGGCTCGTGTGGACTCTGATTTGCTGTTTGAGTCTCTGTGAGTCCCTGTGAGTCTGGCTAGTTGATTCTGTGGGCTGCATTCTTGTCTCCTTGGCGCCTGTGGCTTCTATAGCCCCACCTCCCACCATTCTGCAGGGTTCCCTGAGCTCTGCCTGTCAGCTATGGGTCTCAGTGTCTGCTCCCGTCAGCTGCCAGAGGGCGCCTCTCTGATGCTGGCTGGGCTGGGCACTCATCTATGAGTACAGCAGAATATTGTTAGGGATCATTTCACTGATTCTTTGGTTTTTGTCAGTAGAAACATACACATCTTAATAAGGTAAAAGCATAATTATTATATAATTTATACTTATATAAAGTATACTTATATGATTTTTACCTGATTAAAGAGGAGATTACTATGTTATACTAGCTCTGAATCTTTGGATTCTAAGTAATTGGATTTAGTCACTAATCAATCAATCAATAAATAAATAAATAAATAACTAAATAAAAAGTCTGAGTGAGTTGCTCCTTCCCAAGTGACTCCATCTTAAGTCAAGCTGACAATAATTAACCAGCACCATTGGCTCCTGTCAACTTGACCTACTGACATCACTTTTAAACCATGTTTCCAAGAATTCTTATTAATATCTGTATTAGTCAGGGTTCTCTAGAGTCACAGAACTTATGGGTAGTCTTTATACAGGAAGGGAGTTTGTTGATGACTTACAGTCTGTAGTCCAACTCCCCAACAATGGTCAGCAGCAGCTGTGAATGGAAGTCCAAGGATCTAGCAGTTGCTCAGTCCCACAAGGCAAGCAGGCGAGGAAGAATCTTCCTTCTTCCAGTGTCCTTATGTAGGTCTCCAGCAGAAGGTGTGGCCCAGATGAAAGGTGTGTACCAATACTCCTGGATCTGGATTAAAGGTATGCACTACCTTACCTGGGCCTAAGCTTTTCATAGCCACTATGCCTCAAGATCAGGATCCCAGGTGAGCCTTCCAATTCTGGATTGTAGATCATTCCAGATGTAGTCAAGTTGACAAGGAAGAATAGCCACCACAATGTCACAGTGTAAAATACAGGCCAGAGTCAGGTATGTGCTGCATATGCATTCCTTTAATCCCAGCAGTCAGGAGGCTAAGACAATGGATCACAGAATTCAAGGTGGATCTCAGAATTCTAGGTGAGCAAGGGCTACACAGTAAGACTCTAAAAAACAAAAGAAATCCAATAAAATGCACTCAAACATTTCAAAGTCCCATGGAGGGCTGGAGAGATGGCTCAGCAGTTAAGAGCACTGGTTACTTTCCCATAGGACCAGGTTCTATTCCCAGTACCTACCTGGTGGCTTACAACTGCCTGTAACTCCAGTTCCAGGGAATCCAACACCCTCCTCTGGCTTCTGCAGGCTACAGGCACTCATGTGGTACACAAACATACATGCAGGCAAAACACTCACATACATAAAATAAAAATAAATGTATCTAAAAGACATTGTCAGAGTCCCAGTCTCAAAATTTTCAGCACTTACAGTTTCAAGATTTATTTTTACATATCCAAAGTCTCTTTAACTGTGGATTCTTATAAAATAAAATAAAACCCAACCAAATGAAAACAAGCTAAATACTTTCTTCAAAAAGGGTATAAAAACAATTGGGTCAAAGCAAAATCCAACATCCAGGAGATTCTGGATAAATCAGATTCTGTAGCTCAGTGTCCAGCATCTGGGGCTCACTCATGATCTGGATCCAAAGGGCAGGCCTTCCAGCTCTGCTATCCACAGCTTGTGCACACCTTGTCTTATATGCTAGGTCAGAGGTCAGAGGTCAGAGGATGCCAGTGACTGCGTGCTTCTTTACCCTCAAGTTTCACACACGACAGCCCTTTCTAAAGTTGTCCTGTGGGTCTCTAACAGAGGGGCCAAGGACTATGGCGCACTGGGCCCCCACTGTTCCTCTCATTAACAGAGACTGACCCTGTGACCTTGCCTAACCTCGCTGCCATTCCTCTGGTTGTGTAGCACAGGAAGGCGATAGGTAGAAGACAGGGAACGTAGTTGTTCATGTGGGTTCTCTCAGATCAGGCATTAATCCGAGGCTTCAGAAAGACAGGAAGGCCAGCGTGTCCCACGTCTCTCCTTGATGTGGGGCACTCAGGCCTCTGGCTGTTGGTTTATCAATAGGCTCAGCACCGTGTTCCCACCAGAACTCTGCCTTTCTCTTAATGGTGGAGTTTTTCTTTTTTTTTTTTTTTTTTTTAAAGATTTTTTATTTATTTATATGTAAGTACACTGTAGCTATCTTCAGACACCCATATGAGGGCATCAGATCTCATTGCAGATGGTTGTGAGCCACCATGTGGTTGCTGGGATTTGAACTCATGACCTCTAGAAGAGCAGTCAGTGCTCTTAACCACTGAGCCATCTCACCAGCCCAATGGTGGAGTTTTTCAAACCTCAAACTCCAATATGAACAACTTTGTTTCATTTTAATTTTAACTGATTAAATGTAAAGTCTGACCCTTTTGCATGCTGGGCTTTTCTGTGCCTAGCTAATCTGAGAAAAGGCTGCCCCGCTGGCTTTTCTGCTTTTGTGCCTAGTTTTGATGCTTTTCAGTCTTGAAGTACTTTAGTTAGGTAGCTCTTGGGGCTGTTTGGCCATTGGCCTGTCCATCAGGCTGGCCCCAGGCTTCCCACAGGTTCTGCAGGCTGGAACAGAAAAAAAAAAAAAAACAAAAACGCAGATATTGGTTGAATCTGAGTATTTCAAAAGGTTTCTCAAGATTTTTGTTTCTATTTTCCTTCCCAGTCACTGTCATAGCCAACTTGGGTTTGTTATCTGACAGGCTTTCCCAGAACAGAGCAGGAGGAAAGCAGATCCTATTTTATTGAAATTTAATCTCAGTCCTCCTGTTGATTTACTCAAGGAACTTCTTTTTTTAAATGACCTGAGTATATGCAGTACAAGCCAGCAGCTGTTCTGAGCTTGACCTGGCTTGTCTCTGCTGCTGTTTGGAAGGTCATGGAGGCCGAGCAGACCAAGACAAGGAGTGAGCTGGTGCACAAGGAGACAGCAGCCAGGTACAACGCTGCCATGGGCCGCATGCGGCAGCTGGAGAAGAAGCTCAAGCGCGCCATCAACAAGTCCAAGTAAGTCTGCGAGGAACGGCTCTTCTGCATCTGCTCTGCGTTTTATGTACTTCCACCAAGGGATTGTCTGAGCAAGTGCTTTAATGTAGGCCCTGGAGTTCCCTGCTTAGTGCCCTGTTCCCCAGTAGTATGTGACACACCCCACCACACACACACACCCCGTCCTACCCTCTGCAGCTGCTGCCATGGACAAGGATGCTGGCGGGAGGCAAGAATTGCTCCAGGTAGGACTTCCATGGGTGACACAGAAAAAGGCATTTCCAAAGCAAACCATTATCCAGCTCATAGGCTCCACTTTGGAGAACTCAGCTTGTGCGGTCAGTTTGTAGCTGATGGTGTGGGCTGGACAAGGTTGTGTACCTCAGTTTACCTATCAGCCTATTGGGGTGAGTTGTGGTCATCATTCAAGGTCTCAGGGCTCCCGTGGGCTCTCTGTCTTCCTGTTGCTTTGGTCACACTCCGCCCTGTTCTCCATCGTGGACACTCATGTTCACATGTTCGTGTCTCTCACCTGGACATCTCATACGTCTACCACATAGTCTCCACATTGGTGCTATTCGGCCACCAAAGGGAGCCTATGCCCAAGTTTCAGACTTTTCTTACATAGCAACGGAGTCCTGAAAAGTGTCGCCATCAGCAATTACAGATGCAGGACTTAGGAATGTGATGGAGGAGGAACAGCTCAGGTACCAAAGCTGCTACAAAGTACCAGCTCTTCTGTCTGACCCAGAGTCCATGCATGGGACTTGTCATTTTCCTTGCCTGATGTGAAGTTGAAGAAACGGTCCTGCTATGCTCAGCTGTCAGGGAGTGGTGTTGCTTTCTTCCATAGTTGGTCTCAGCAGAGGGAGTATTTTAAGCAGCCTATACCTCACTCCCATCTTCTTATACTTGGCCAGTAGGCTAAAGCAGCCACCCTACAGAGCAAAACAAGCCAGGATCCAAAATCTTAAGATGGGCTTCCTGTCACTGAGGCCTTGGGTTAGCCAATAGCTCTGCTGGTGTTTGTCATTGCCATGGCCTATATCCTGAATGACCTGACTAGCTGCAGTGGATGTATCTAGAATTCAGGAGCTCATATTCTTACAGTTTTTTTTTTTGTTTTTTTTGTTTTTTGTTTTTTTGTTTTTGTTTTTCGAGACAGGGTTTCTCTGTGTAGCCCTGGCTGTCCTGGAACTCACTCTGTAGACCAGGCTGGCCTCGAACTCAGAAATCCTCCTGCCTCTGCCTCCCAAGTGCTGGGATTAAAGGCGTGCACCACCACTGCCCGGCCTTACAGTTTTTTTTTTCTGTCTTCTACAGGCCTTATTTTGAGCTAAAGGCAAAGTACTACGTCCAGCTTGAGGTATGTGTGATCTTGTATTTGTCACTAATATTTTGTTTTCCACCCCTCCTCAAATTCAAAACCCAACTTTAATGTGGTAACAGGCCTTAAATGCCCGTGTGCTGTGAGGGGAGAATGGAGAAACAAACCAAGACTTTGGTTCTCTGCATGGTCTTGGGTGGTGTGTGTTGTCTGGAGCTATGAGAATTCACCCTCTCTCAGCAGCTTGTTGTACCAGCCTTTATTAGGTCTCAGTGTGAGTGCCCAAGACAAGCTGCCCCAAGAACATTAGGTAGCGTTCCCAGACCCCCCACCCTATGTCAGAACCTTTGAGGGTTGGGTCAGCAGTCAAATTGTAAATGACGATATAAGTGATTCAGCTATGGGAACGTCTATCAGGAACCAAGTGAGGAGGCTGCAGGGCTTACGTGTCTTCTGCGTTCTTTTAGTAACCATTTCTGCACTGTCTCATCTGTCACATGGCCTGATATTGAGATGGTACAGATTTTCTCCACATTGAATGGGGAGCCATGAATAGAAGTCACTGGATCCTTCTTTAGTCAATTGTCTTGGGTGTCTCAGGAAGTTCTTGGTGTTGTAATCATGTGTAATCCCTCGATCAGTGGGGACATCCAGGGCCACTTTGCCTTACCAAGTCCCCCATCTTCCAATTCAGCAACTGAAGAAGACAGTGGATGACCTTCAGGCCAAGCTGGCCCTGGCAAAAGGCGAGTATAAGGCGGCCCTGAAGAGCCTGGAGAGGATCTCAGATGAGATCCATGAGCGGCGGCGCTCCAATGCTATGGGGCCTCGAGGCTGTGGTGTGGGGGCTGAGGGCAGCATCACCTCAGTGGAGAACGTGCCTGCAAGCAAACCTGAGCCTGATGCCATTTCTGGTGAGTCTGACCAGCAGGAATCAGTGTGTGTGACCTGCTTCCAGGGCCGTCTTGTCCCACGGCCCCCTATCCTTTGCCCATCACAGATGAATCTGAGAGCTGGGCAGTCTACAGGTTGTTCTGGTGGTTCTTGTGGGACAGTGTTTATCAGATTGCTCCTGAATACTAGCGTTCTGTGGTCCAGTAGGACTGGGAAATGTCCCACCTCCAGCCCTCTCAGACGGTCTAAGTGCACATCAGAACATTCTTTACATTCAGAAGGCTTTAAGAAGTTCTGAGGAAAGATGTAATGACTTGGATCCAGATTTGATTCAGATCCCATTTCACCAATGGTGTGGATGGAGGGGCTGCTTCAGCTGCATAATGAGGACAGGGTCTACTCTGCTACACAGGGTGCTGAGGAGACACCTGGCAGCTCTCCCTGGGGTCTGACCACAGGGTCTCCTCTGTTCAGGGATAGCTTGTGCAGAAAGGATAGATGGTTGGCTTAGCTTCCGTTAGCCTGTCTCTTTTCTACAGCTTTTCCTTTCCTTGGAATATTCCATTGTGGCTCTTAGGCTTCTTATCAGCAATTCTTTTTTTCTTCTTATTTTTTTTTTAAAAATCATTTCTATGTATGAGTGTTTTCCCCACATGTATCTGTATATACCACACAATTGCCTGATATCAGAAGAGGGCACTGGGTCTTCTGGGATTAGTTATTAGCTGCCATGTAAGTGCTGGAAATCAAACCTGGGTCCTTTAGAAGAACAGCGAATGTTAGGCCATGTTTAAAGATGTCACAGGCACAATGGGAACTAGGAAGGATCTTAAACGTGCGAGTGCAGGCTGAAGAGGCTTTGAAAACAAGGATGGCCTGTCTCTGAGCCTTGGTTATTCTGTCAACAAACTCAGGCTCAGGTAGAGCCCTGGAAAGGAACACTGTTCTTTGTAGCAAACAGTGGTGTAGGCAGGCTTTGAGGTGTCTTTGAAATCAGAAGGTCTACATTCCAGGCAGGACTGCCCTTCCAGCAGCTCTTGCTGCTTAGGTCAGAAGGAAGATCTTTAGTCTTCCTTCTGAGACTGCCTAGAATAGGATACATTACAAAGGGCTAGTGTCTAAATTTATCTTCCCATTTCTTTCCTAATTCCCTTTTCCTTCAGGACTAGGGATAGAACTCTGGCCTTTGTATCTGCTAGACAGGCTGCTTCCTTTATGCTCTGGAGGCTGGTCAGACAGGTTCAGGAGAGCTGTAGGTCCTGCAGACTCCATGCTGTGTGAGCATGTCCAGCAGAGAGCATGTCTGCAAGCGTTTAAGGGACTGGGCTACTATCTAGCAGATCCCATGTGATTGATGTTCTCTCTCATCACAGTGGCTTCAGAAGCCTTTGAAGATGACAACTGCAGCAACTTGGTGTCTGAAGATGACTCTGAAACCCAGTCTGTGTCCAGCTTTAGTTCAGGACCAACAAGTCCGTCTGAAATGCCTGACCAGTTCCCTGCAGTGGCAAGGCCCGGCAGCCTGGATCTGCCCAGCCCTGTGTCCCTGTCAGAATTCGGGATGATGTTCCCAATACTGGGTCCTCGAAGTGAATGCAGTGGGGCCTCCTCCCCTGAATGTGAGGTGGAACGAGGTAGGTTGCAGCTCGGCTTGTTCCCTGTCCATACCTTTGCCAGGTCTCCCTTTGCTAGGTCTCAGGGGCCCAGGAGTGCATTACTGCATCTCTGAGACACACTGTGGAGTAGATCAGATTGCTTTCAAGGGCTCTTCTGGGGTCCCTGGCACTCTGCCTGGCCACCTTCAGTCAAGCAGAACTTAGGTCCCATATCTGTCCTAAGGCTAAGAGGACTGTTAAGTTCCTGTTGGAGAGGTTTGCTTCCTAGCTACAAAATGAGAATGGGACATCTCATCTCTAAAGATACATATTAGGGAGTGAATACAGTGTGTCACCCAGTGCTGGAAAACCCTCTGAGATGTATGGTGGGCAGCAGGAACGGCAGAGGACTCAGGTGGCTGATGCTGGTGCCTATGGAACTCTTGAAACTGACTGCCCCCATGTGGCAATCTTTGTTTCTCTGCAGGAGACAGAGCAGAAGGGGCTGAGAATAAAATGAGTGACAAAGCCAACAACAACAACCGTGTTCTCAGCAGCACCAACAGCAGTGGTGGCAAGAGCAGGAGCCAAAGCAGCATGTCTCTTGAGGGCCAGGCCTTGGAAACCCGCATGAAGCAGCTCTCCCTACAGTGCTCAAAAGGAAAAGATGGAATTATTGCTGACATAAAAATGGTGCAGATTGGCTGATCCACCCAGGGCTATGGCCCATGTGCAGATCATATTTATACATGGAATTCAAGAACATTGTGCCAATAATCATTTAACATAAGCCAAATAGTATGCATTCACTCTAAACTGCACTAACCAAGTTTCAGTGACCTTGAGGGTTAAACAATTTCCCTCTGGTAAGAGCTCTTGGGCTGGTGTGTTTTTCAGAGCAGAGCCACTGCAGGTAAACTGTGACCAAAGTCACAGCCTTTGTGGAGCATTCCCTGTAGGGGCAGCGTGGAAGCAATAACTAGTTTCTGTGAAAGAACCTGAGCCAGGAGGCGAGCTGGACACTTGGCCAGACTGGGGTCACCAGCCTACATCTCTACCCCCAGTTCTCCCTCTACTTGGGGAAACTGAGATGTTCTCGCCCTTATATCACAGAGCACCAAAATAATTTAAAAACTCACACAAACAAAAACTCAAGTGTTCAGAACACACTGTTGTGCCCTAGTAAGAGTGTAACAACAGTGCCAGGAACACGGTTCATCATCAACTCTGGTGCTCAGAGGGGGCTGCAAGAAGCATGTCTTCTGGGAAACCTGTTGAACCATTTCCTAGGGAAGCTACCATGAACTGCACTTTTTGGGGTGGGAACGGTGAATGCCAATGCGGGGATGGGGGGAGTAAAGTAGCGGGGACATAGGTAGCATAGAGGGGACCTGTGGCTGGGGCCGTTTGTAGCCTGACCATAGCCTGCCAGCCAAGGCGCTTTATTCTAAGAGAAGTGCATGTGAGGAATGGTTGCCATTGCTCTATCTAGATTTGACAAGGAGTTCATTTCTCTGTAGACGTAATTTCTACAAAAACTGAGATTATTTACGGTTTATGCTACACCTAGTATCCCTTAGAGGAAGCTGTCCTTAAAGCTAGGAGGGGATGGGCATGGTTGGTAAACAGGAGCAATGGATCTGTTAGGCTAATTGTAGTGTCTAGACTTAGTGTTTCTGGTTATGCATATTTAGAGCACTGGATTTTATTTGTCCTGTTTTATTAATCTACTATTTCTGAAAGAAAAAAACAACCTCCATTTCAAACTGTCTGTTAATTTTAGCCATGTGTGTACAGCTCTTCATACACTAGTGGTTTCTTCTTTTTTATTGATGGACACAGTATCCTTATTACAAGGTTATTTTGTACTTGTTTTATTACCTTGAGTGTAATAAAAGCTGAGAAGACTTTGTGACTTCCAATGAGAAAGCCCACTGTGGTCTGTCTTCTCCTCTTGCCTTGCTAAGATCATGGGGTGCTGGGGTCACCTGCTCTCCTTTTCAGGTAAGGTGATGGAGCCTCAAATACCAAGGTCTGAATTAGAATTCCCACTTTTGCTGTTAAAAAGGTGAACACTGAGGAGAGACAGGCAGGCAGCTCCAGGTGGCAATCCCGAGAAGAAAGGTTTTTAGTTTCACTGGTCAAGCGTACTCTTAGGGGCAGGGACAACATACTGTTACATGGTCTTATCTGACTCAGTCTGATTTAGCTAATTTGAGGTATACTTGGGCACTTTTAAAAGCTTCCCAGGTGGCACCAAAGTACTTTTCTAATGGAAATCTGAGAGTACTGGACTCTAATATATACGCTACACACTGAAGTGTGCTGTAGGACGAAGTGCCTGGTAATCCCAAGTGCTTTCCTGTTAACATTCCATCTCAGAGTTGGTAGAGGGCCCTTTCAACTGCTCTGTTCCCCACAGTGAGGCATTGCTCATTTCCCCTTCCTGTCAACATTTCTGAGGTAAAGCTGTGTAGTCTATTATTTCTGGCAGAGACTAGAATATTCTTCTTGTGCTGGGAAGTTTTGTGCTAATTCCCTTACGTGGGCACTGGGGCTTCATAACATGTCTGTCTTCTCCAGTTCCCTCACCCATCAGCTGCTGCCTGCTTGTCTCCCACGCAGGAGGGACGCATGACCTTCAACCCTGGCTCCTGTTTCATCTCACTCCTCCCCTATCTCCCTTCACGCTTCCACGTTAAAGCAGTGCCACTCCTGTCATCTCAGCCTCCTCACCTCCTCTACAGTGTTGGGGACTCCCTCTCCCACCCTGGCCTCCTCTGTCAGTCTCTGAAGTGACCATTTCTGAAATTTAGCTAATTTCAGTTTCTGGCCCTCCAGTTCACATTTGACTTTTTTTTTCTTTTTTCTTTTTCTTTTTTAAGTATGTGTTGAGTGTACAGCCTTACCTGTATACAGGAGTCAACGCTGTTTACATAGAGGTCTTTTCTACTGGGTTTTTGTTTGTGGTGTGTATGTGTACTGGGGATTGAACCCAGGGCTAAGCCAAGTGCCGTGCTACTGAGCTGCCTCACAGCCTTCTATTATGTTTTTGAGAGCAGAAATCAACTCTTATATTTAAAGTTCATGTGCCTAATTTTAGACAAATGAAATCTCATTGGTTTTATTCTTGAAGCAAGTATTTCTATACATGTGTGTCTTCTTTTACAGGGACACATGAGACTAAATAAATCAAGTTCTGGACATTAAACTACATAAAGTTTCCATAAGTATAAATATTTTATTTCAGTCAAAGGCAGTAGAAATAGTTTTGATAATTATAAAGTAGAGACAATGACAGATCTCATTCTATTTTCCAGAACTTGAAAACCTTGAGCATCATTTTGTACTGATGATTTTTATGTAAACACTAGTTCCTGACCACTCACTTTTTATGAATGCTGTATAACTCAATCACCATATATACTGAATTCTCAAGGACTCCCCAAATCCCTGTGATGAAAGCACTGACTACAGAGCAATTAAAAACCCTACACAGTAAACCTTAGCATTGCCAGTTTGATTACTACATTCATCAACCTGCTAAGAGTGAAAAACAGCAACAGTAAATATACCTTGGTTCTCTCTACAATGGACGATGTATCTAACACTGACAACCTTCATTCTTAAGCCTGAGCATCTTCATGCTAAGCTAAACAGTGCTTTTTAAAGCTTAACATCTACACAACAATAAACATTTAAAGACACAATGAAAAATTAAAATTAGTCGCAGTGACATAATTCATTTGGTAATTAGTTGCTTAAGATGTATGGTGGGGTCAACATAAAAGGGCTAGACATACATGCTCTGTAAAAACAGGAAACATAAGTAAGTATTTCAGGACACTAACAAAGCCTGCTCTTGCATTCAGTGGACCTGTGGCCCTCGATGTCCTCATCTTGTCCTGTTAGCAAAAGCATCTCACAGTGACGGCTGAATCTAACCTGTAATTTATACAAAGTTAGCCACTAAGTACATGCCAACTCTGTATGCACAAAACCATGTAAACAGTATTTCAGGTGAATAAGGTAATTCTGACTATCTAAAATTCTTACCAAACACCACAACAAGCACCAGACTCCACTGTAACATGCTTTTGATTTAATTCCATTCTGGTGGTCACCGTCATGATTTGTCTCCTTGTCTGAAGAGCTGAAGACTGGTAAGTATGGAATCCAGTAATAGCTGAAAGTTCTCTATCATTGGAGTTGTGTTGTCTTGATGGGGACAGTACTATTAAAGTCCAAGAAGAAAGGTCCTTCTTGCTTAGGTAAAAAAGTACTGGGGATGATATTAAAGATTCCAGCAGGTATGTTTTCCAATTCTAAGTAGCAAAATCCACACCTATAATCAGAGAAAATGAGAATAATGATGACGTAATGTCATCACTGTAGACCATCATGTCCCACAAAGTATATACTGAACACAAACAAAATGCCAACGTTACCTGTAATCACCACTAGATTTCCTCTGAAAGCCATGAGGACCAGGATCTCCCATTATGGAAACTGCTACAACCTCAAATCCAACACTGTATTGCCTAATGTTAAACAGCATTCCTCTATTAGTAGATGGTTTCAAATACACTTTGTGTAAAACATTTCTATGCATATATGCTTCAGTTTTACCAAGAGAAAACAGTACTCTGAAATTATATACTACTTTAACTCATGATTTCTACCGAGTCCATAATACCTAATCCGTTAAGGACTAATAATGCAGTAAGCTTACCTTAAAACACACTTTTTGTTTTGTTGTGCTTTTTTGAGACAGGTCTCATTAAGTAGCCCTGGCTGTCCTGGAACTCACTATGTAGACCAAGCTGGCCTCAAACTCAACAAAGACCTGCCTGCCTCTACCACCTGAGTGCTGGAATTAAAGGCATTGTGCCATTACTCCAAGCTAGACTTATCATTTTTCTTTTTTTTTTTTTTTAAAGATTTATTTAATGTATATGAGTACGCCATTGCTCTCTTTAGACATACCAGAAGAGGGCATCAGATCCCATTACAGATGGCTATGAGCCACCATGTGGTTGTTGGGAATTGAACTCAGGACCTCTGGAAGAGCAGCCGGTGCTCTTAACCACTGAGCCATCTCTCCAGCCCTTAACATACATTTCTAAATGAAATATTAGCTTTGTAATTGACAGAAAACCCTGTAGAACAGAAGAAAGCACAGGAATAGAATCTAATAATAATAGTTAGTATATGGCCCATATGGCATTCCAAGAATCACTCACAGGAAAAAAAATGTTGAGCTGCATTTCATACCAGATACCCATCTGAATTATAGTCTAGAAGACCTTGTTTGCTTTTAACATTTAATCTGTAATCTAGAACTGAGTTTTAGCCCTGACGTGAGATAGGTCAAATCACTATTATACATAGATGCTGAGTTCCATAGCACTTACTTTTGACTGGCCTCTACCTTGTAATGTCATCATAAATCCTTTGCCTACATTTGCACAGATTTGTTTCCAAACATCGGCTTTAACATATGCTCATTAATTTAAAACAAAGGAGGACACATCTTAGGATAAGGCTCAGCAGCAGAGTGGCTGCCTAGCATACATGAGGCCCTAGGTTCAATCTCTAGCGCACACACACACATGGCTACTCATACAAACCTTGGTCCTCTCAGCTCAATCAGTAACGGTCCAGTCTTATCTATATGGAATTGGTAGATGGGGTTATTTTTGTGAGTCTCCTGAAAATTTCCACACCCTCCAGCACTTTGACCACTCCACTTTCCATTAATCTGTAAAGTAAAGTTTCTATGTTAATAAAATCTCACATTCTGATTCCACTCTGGTCTCCCATTCTTCGACTGTCTTCACCCACCCAGGCTGCTTTACTATACTACACTTCTCAATTATAAAATTGCTCTCCCTACCAGGAATTCTCTCTGGAATCTTCTGAACATCTTTTTTTACCCACACTGTAAGCTATTTTCAAATTCTCTTGAGTTCATCTATGTGGACTAATAACAAGCAAAGATCTAGCTAATTCTTTCTCTAGAATTACACGTTTTCTATTTCCACAGACACAATACTGCTCGCTGTATTCACAACACAGATCCTGTATTCTGAACAAAATAGACAGTTGTTTCCCTTGTATTTCTCCAAAACTCCTAAAAGTGTTTACTTAATGAGTGTTTACTTAGCCTTCTAAAGGCTAAAAAGAGTCATGAGATTACAACCCATAGACTTCCTTACCCGTTTTGATAAGGTGTATGGTGAAGGGATCTTCGAAAAAGTAAAGCTGCAAGCTGAATATACCTAGATTAAAAAAGAAAAATAGGAAGGCTCACCAAAGATCATCCTGAGAAACATCATTGGAACAATCAAAGTGATCAGGGAACACACTGGATCTATTCTACAGCTCAAATACTAGTTGGGATCAAGTCACACTTAGCAGGGGATTTTGTCTTGACTGTCACGGTGTATGATTTGGGACAATTGGCTTCTGTGACTGAAGAGCCAAGAAATATTAAACAATTCCTAATGTCTTTTATCATTAAAAATTCATCCAAATTGAATTTCTTATATGTGACAATCCTATATACAAGAAAATTACAGTGACCTTCCCAGCAATGTGACAGCAGTATAGTTAAAAATTGTTAAAATAATTAAAAACAGTTAAAAATTGTTTTTGTTTCGAGGAGGTTTAAGATGAGGTCTCAAGCTAGCTTTGAACTTGAGATTCTCTTGCCTCTGGGATTACGGTGTGTGCCACCTCCACCACCATGCCCTATTGAAAACTGTCATTTAATTGCATTTATTAATCTACATCTCAGGAATAAACCATTACTATGAAAATGTGTTCATTCAAAATGTTATTCAAAATTAAATACAACTTTTGTTTTGGATTTTCGAGACAGAGTTTCTCTGTGTAGTCCTGGCTGTCCTGGAACTTGTTCTGTAGGT